GCTGTGTTCCCCAGAGGAGGTGGCCTGGCCGCCGCTTTCCTCGTGCGGTTGCAGTCCGGTGCCGATAGCGAAGACGGTGCTGGTTAGCCGAAGGAATAGGTACAAAGCCTATCCGTAGAGATGCTTTCTCAGCATGTGAAAGGGATAAGTCGCTTTTGCAATCGCAGCAGATTTACTCACGAGCGTGGGGTGGGAAGGCTGCGGCGCGTGTAAAACTGGTTTCTTTAGTTTGCCGAGTGAGCCATCCGCCTGCTGCTTTGGCCAGCCCCGCGCTTGGAAAACCACCGCTTCTCAGGTGTGGCGCAACTCGCAGGAGCGCTAGGCCTGTGTTTGCGGCCGCTCCTTGCATCACCTCGGATGGCTTGTTTCCCACGCAGGCAGGTTTCAGGGGATTCCCGCGAAATGCGCTGTGCTGAACATGCCCTGTGCAGAGCTGGAGTTGCCTTGGGACTCCGAGGGCACTCATGGACAGGAGCGGAAAGCAGAGTGCCAAGGAGACACTCGCTCAGTTACATCTGCCCCCCGAAGCCCTTGTCCTCCAAGCCCCGCAGTCCTCCTGTGATTTCCACCTGCGCTTTGCACTCTTCAGGGCTCCCATCCCTCCTCTCCAACTTCCCCGTGCCCAGCTGCCAAAGCTCCTCTTGTGCAATACTTGTTTCTGTCCCCCCTTCACTGAAGTCCTCATGTTACCTGCAAAATAACCCCTGTTGCCACTACCCCTCGTGCTGCACTGCGGCCCTAGCTGCCTGCTCTAGCGCCTTTGGACTTCTTGCCTTTCTCTGGAAATGCCAGCAGGCTTGAGCTGACCGTAACTTTTGGATGGAGGAGGGACACCAGCACTTTTCCAAGCGGGGAAAGAAGAGCTTGGGCTGGCCTGGAGCTGCTGAGCCATTCTGGATTCCTCCTGTCTGCCCTGCGAGAGATGTTACAGCCAAGGCCTTGCTGCCGTGTGGTGCAGCCAAGAGGTACCGTGCTGGCTTTGCTTCAGGTGCTGGGGTGCTCTGCAAAGGCAGAATTTCTCAGTGCAGTGCACCTTATCTACATACGTAGTACAAACAGGCTCAGAGGGTGGCGGGTTGTTCCAGGAAGTACAGGACACCGTGGCAGAGACACAGCTCACGTGTGTGAACACACACCCTCCGCTGTGAAACCTTTCAGAAGCAGCCAGTCGGCAGCTCGAAGCGTGTCGTAGCCTTGTTGCTGCCTTTTCAGCGTCTCCCAGGGAGTCGCTCTTCGTGCTTGGACTTGGTTGTGTTAATTACTTGGTTGTCTGCTCGTGCACTCACAGAGATGGTGTATGCTGAGCATCACACCAAACGCTATCTTGGTTAGATTTGTTCAAACGCTTGTAAAAGTCTGGCAATCTGCAGCTCTTTGCTGTCAGTGGGCTGAGGCTGCGCCGTTCAGCTCGCTCACGTTGCAAGTATCCCACTGAATCTTCACTGTGCTGGGAATGAAAGAGCAAAGCTCTGGTAGCCCCTGAGAGTTGCTAGCTGGGAATTTTGGAAGTCCTCTAATAAATTACGTGAAACCTTTATTCACGTCGCTTTAGGGAGAGCAAGCGGCTCTTACACCTTTGTGAAAAAGTATAAAGCTTCGTGGTGCTGTTGAGGGCTGAAAATAAGGAGGCACTTTTGAAATGTAGGGA